GTTATAACCCGAGTTATAACTACCCTAGTTTTAGGTCCCACACTGATAAATAGTAAAAAATAAAGCCAGACGAAAAGCTGAAACATGCTCGATCACAATTTAATGAACACAAAGTTTATGTGGATAGATAAATAGAAGTCTGTCGGGAAAGAATATTAACTCATAACAATCGAATCCCAATGAACATTTACCTATTCATTTGTCTCTGATAAAATTGTACTATGAGACATACAATATATATTTGACACATTGAAGACCTCTCATAAAATAAGAATACTCGATAAAGGAAACAAGAAAATTTATCTGAATTGAATCTTTGCCTATTTAATCAATACTGCAATTCAATTTATTTTCATTCATTTCCGAACTTGACATTCAGCTTGTTTAGTAATTTCCGTTTTCTCATGATTCCATAGTATTTGCTAAAATCAAATAATTAATTTCAATAACCTATTTATTAATGATATATAAGAATAATACACAACATCAAAGACTAGATTCATTTTAATAAAACTAAAAAGAAAAGTTCTACTGCATTCGAATCATTCTAGTATTGTTTACATATCTGTTAAATGTGTATTTGTTCTTGAACGCATATGTATTTTAGATACTATATTATCATTTGATTGTATTCTTAGAGAATTTGATATTTTTTCAAATAATTCAGTTGTAGTTTCACGAAAATTTTGACAACATAATAAATAAAGAATTAAATTTCCATTTGAATTAATTGTTTGCATAAAATTAGCAAATATATTAAATAAACGTTGAATACGACATTGAAAATAAAGATTTTCATTCGATATATTATCATCAGTTATTGAATGTTGAACTTCATATAAATGATTAATAAGCATTGGAAAACGACATAAAATAAATAAGAGTACAACAGCTATAAGCATTATTGATACATGATAATGTCGTCGTGAATAAAAAAAATTTGTTCTTATCATTGCCATTTGTCGAACTGATGTTGATATTAAACGACGATGTTCATCATGGTATTTTATAAGACGACGAACAGTTAAAATATTTATTAATATTAATGTTACTAATGGTATAACATGTACGATTGGAATATAGATCGAAAGATTAATAATTTCTTGAAACATTTTCTGTTGACCAATGTCAGTATCTAGAATGATTGAGATTAAATAATAACATATTTTCTTTTGTTATATGATATGATACTTACAGAACATTTTATAATAAGTTTGATTTTCAGTATTCGTTTGTGTAGTAATTCGAAATTTAAACCAATATAATATGACAAAAATAATTGAAAATATTGTTAAAAATAATATTATACGTAGAGCATTTCGTACAGTACAATATTGACTTGGATTTATACCTGTTGAAATATATAAATAGCGATCAACAGAAACAGCTACTGTATAATAAATTATACATAATTGAAGTGTATTCATTAGTGGAATGATATATGGTGATAATCTATAAGTATTTATAGATAAAAATATGATTTAGATATTTATAAACCTTACCGATGAAATATTTGATTATAGATACTATGTAAATTTTCTTGATTTTCAGAAATAAAATATGGAACAATAATAGTTAAACGAAGTGCATAACATAGGAAGAATAAAATAAGCCATAGTAGATTGACAACTGCTAAAGCAATTAAATATATATTGGTTGACAATGTTCTCATACGTTTATGAGCGAGTATAATTATTGAAAATGTATTAGCTAATAAACCTAATATACATGTAATAATTGATGACCATCCACCAACAATTAATAGAGTAATTAGCACGAAATTTTCATCTTCATCAGAGCATGAAACATTTGTTGTATTGTTTGGTGTCATTTTCTATAATCAATTGATGTCTCCAAAGAAAAAAACAAAAAGACAAAATGATAAATAGAGAATCCTCCAAACACGTCATGACTAGTGAAGTATGCCATAAAAATAATGATATTATCTTTGATGTTATTAATATTTTATATCCTTATTACCCTTGACATTGAAATACCAATGACCTAAGATTTTAATTATCTATGCACCTATTACCTTATATTTATATATGTCAACCAAAATAAAAATTATTATAGAATACTTATTGTTCTTCTTTCGGCAATCTGTCATTTATATGCTACTTCAAGAATTAACTATTCTTATTATAGGCAGGTTAATACTAGAAAGCTTTTGGGCTTTTAGTATTTTAAACTATCAATATGATTAATTTTTTATTCTGTTTGATGGATGGGTTCACAATGATAATTACCTATTCTTTGTTAATGAGTTCAGTAATCATTCCTTGAAAAAATAGATCAGATCGACGGTAGTTCAGTTGGTAAAGCGGAAGACAGTAGATGTATAATAATTGTAATATTTAGGTCACTGATGCAATTCTGGTTTGCAGGACTCTTTTTTTTTTCTTTCTTCTCTTTTTTCTACAATATGTTATTTTTTTTTATTAAGTTCGTTTGGAATAGAAGATAAATGAACACGAATAATTTAAACAAATTTTAGTAAATGAAAAGTTATTTGATGGAATAAATCATTTATTTTTAAAAATATTGCATATAAAGAAAAGTATAATAATAAATATATATAGGTAAATCGTAAAAATTCAATATTATATATTAGTATAATATATTTTTTTTTGATTTTATTCTTATTTATTGATATTCACTAATTAAAGTTTATCCATAAAAATCGATGTATCAATAACATTATTTTACATATGAAAGGTTATAATAGTTAGATGAATTGTCTTTGAATAAATAATCGTGAATATTAATGATTTTAATTGATTATAAAAGAAGATACGCCCACGCACGGATCGTATTGTCTGTAGATGGAATGTACTTTAAAGAAACAAACTCAAGAATGTGGGTAACAGGTGTTATAGAATATGTTTATATTTCATATAATGCTATTATAGGTTTACATATTCATAACATTGAAAAGAAACGAGTCACATATGTTACTTTTCTTTTTAGAGATAGTCGTCTATGATATAATTGATGAAAATTTATGAACTAAAATTGAAATTTTATTAGAATTTTTATACTAATTCATAGTTATAAGTTTATATATATGTATACAATGATATGTAATTCAATCTTAGTTATCCATTGTGTATAATAACTGTAATCTTCAGGTCATTGGTTCGACTTCGGTTTGTGGGACTCTTTCCCTTTTTTTGATTCTATTCAATGACAACTTTAATCTAATATTTTGTAATAAGTACAGATTTTAGGACTGATTTTTATTTTGTATTCAAAAAAAAGTTAAAAGTTATTTTTTAGCAGCTGAAGCAGTATTAATACCACGAACGGTATCAATCATTTTTTTAACACCTATCATTTGTGGACCTAATTTATTAGCATAATTAGTAGAACCATAACCCCACCAATCAAAACAACCATTTGGATTTTGAGGGCTCAATGATGATTGAAGAATTTGTGGAAATAATACAATGATATCATTAAGTTCAGCAACTTCCAAATAACCTGCTTTCTTAGCAAATACATCACCAACAAAAGATTTACCTAAACAAAAAAAAAATAAACTCAATTTAATGCTTCATTTTTGATAAAACAAAAATAAGAAATTATTCATACCTTGTTTACATCCATGAAGAGCAACATGAATTGAACATTTCTTTCCTTGAGTACAAGCTGCTGGGAAATAAACATAACCTTGTTTATCAAAACCAGATCCAGCACTTGATGATGCTGATGATCCACCCATACCAGGAAGTGTAATACTTGGCATTGTCACTGAACCGGTACCGAGTGTTGGAAAATAATTTAATGGATTATATAAAGCCATTGTTGCTTGCATCCAATTTGACCATAAAGAAAATACATCTGTAGCTTTAGCATCTGATCTAGCAGCTGGTGGATTCATAAATGCTGCTTGATCAAAAATCATAAATTGTCCATTAAGTGGAATTGATGAACCACTTGGTGGTTTAACAAGATTACCACCAAGTAAATGATTTAACATATCATAAGCCAAATTATAATTACTATTTGAAAATAAAATAAAATATAGAATTTATTAAAATAAAATTTTCTCTTTTCTATATACCAGTTATTAATGTAATTAGCGCTGGAAAGTACTGAACATTGTGCACCAAAATTGTCTGTTGGAAAACCATGATTAGCTGCAAGATCATAGTTAGTTTTGATATTAGCACTCAATGGTGTATAGATTTGTTCATTAATTTTAACAACACCCGGAATTACAACTCGATCATTTGTACCAGAAAAAATATATACTGGATCATCTTTAATATGTGCTGTTGAATCAACATTACCAGATGTAGCATATGATTTTAATTTAGTCTGAATATTTGCGCTCGAAACCGATGTAGCTGGACCGTTCATACATGCGCCAATAGCTGTCATCATATTACCTTGAGCACAATAATATGGAGGACCAGCAACAACACCACATCCACTAATTTCAGATGAAAAGGCAATATGTAATTGAGCTGCCATTGAACCACCAGCTGATATACCTGAGACAGTAACATCAGTTCGTGGAACTTTACCTTCAATTATTGAAGCAAGAAAAACGATGGTACAAAATGTTTTCAACATTTTATAATAACTATTTTAAATAGATATGAAAAACTCAACAAATCTCGTGATTTATATATACGAACGAAACAAGAGGGAAAGGCAAAAGGGCGTGTATATCAAAACAGATTTGTAAAATGATATGAGAAAAAATATTTGTGAAATATAAGAAATTAAATATTAATATTGAAAATAAAATCGAATATAATGTATCAATCGAACTATTAAGTTATCATTATCTTTTATTGAGTACTAGTATAGCTGCATTGTTAGTGTGACTCTCTCCATAGTTTTTCCTTGTTAATCCTTTGTAGAATAATTTATCCTTGACAATGATTGGTTCGATTAGAATAGATTATATTTCAAAAATATTAGACTATCGTTTTCTTTATATTTACCTTGATCATTACAATATTATGTTTTTTTGAATAATAATATAACTAAGTACTCTTTTAATAATCAAAAAATATGATTAAATTACAAAAAATATTGATATTATCATAGCGAAACTTGTTTTTTCATTCTTTACCATTTATCGAGAAATTTGGGTACTATGCATTCATGATAATCAAGGGTGTCCCGAGGTTCAAAAGATTGGGGGAGCCGTTAACAACTTTCTTGAAATTTTTCCGAAATATTCATAGATTGTCGAACCAAAATTCCGAAGATTGGGAGTGGGGACGTCGCGGCCCCGGAAATCCTTCACCACGACACTATTGAATGATAATCAATAATTGAACTTCGTATGAAACCAATCCTGTAATATTTCATATTACTTATAAATGTATTTACTAGCTTTCGATAACGCTATCATCGAATTGGTAGATAAAAATGGTGATGGCGTATGCTTCTATATTAAGCTATCTTTTTGATATGATGCACTTTTAAGAATTGACTTAAAATAAAAGCAAATATTTAATTTAAATCAAAAATAATAATCGCAATTGTTTTTCATTCCTTAAATCCTTCGCTTTTTAAAGTAGATATTTAAAACAACGTAATAAAATAAAAATTTAAATCGATTTTTTTTGATATAACTTATCTTGTTAAATAAGAGAATATATATTTGCATTTATTATAATTTCTACATACGATAAATAATTAATTGACATAATTTCTTATATAATAATAATATACACAAAGGAAAGAGAGAAGAAGAAGAAGAGATCTGCAGTTCTATACTGTTATTTAGAGTTTAACTAACAAACATTATATTCATATACGTATACAAAACGAGTATGTACTTGAGTAAAATAATAGTAATATTTTTCTTGATTATCTTCGATAAATGTTTTTGGTTAATGCCATATTTGAAAATCCTCGTCATTGTCCGTTAAATCATTTTCATTAACAAAACGAAAATCTTCATCATCTGTTAAATACGATATAAATGATTCAATATCATCATCATCAAATAAATGATCAAATCTAAAGAAAAACCAATAAGAATAGTTGTTGTTTTGTTTTTTTCAAAATACATACTCATCAAAAAATCTTCCAACATCAATTGGTGAAAAAACTGATATCATAAATACATCAGAAAAATTTTCTAATTCACCACGAATATTCATACGTTGTCGACGACGTGGTGGACCTAATTGAACATATTGTCCACGTTTATCAACATGTAAATAGAAACATTTTGAACCAAATGGACATAAACCATCACCACGTTTAAAAAATTTACAATGAATTTTTCTAAATAAAACAAGAAAAATTTATTGAAATTTGTCAATTTTTTTTCGTTTTTTACTGGAGATTTTCTTTATAAGCTTGAATTAAATTATTTTTTGCTTGATCATTTTCTGGCCAATATTTACTTGGTGTTATAAAATCTGATTTTGTTCGACATTCCGGACTAAATAGATTTAAAAAACAAACGAAATTTATTTAATGAATAAACAATAGGATGTTTTTTTTTCTAACCAAGCTTTAACAACTTTATATTCATAACTTGCTGATGAACGCCATTTTCTTATACATTCCAGACAAAAAATATGATCACAATTTTCCAATAGTCCGAAACGTTTATCACCATCTCGATCCCATACTGTTTCAAGGCAAATACCACATTTTTTATCTTGACTACGTTGAGCTGCAAACGCTTCTTCACAATCAGCTTCATGTTTCTCCAAACATTCCTTAAGAAATTAAATTAATAATTTAAGTTTCTTATATTTTCCAATTTCGTTTCATTGTCACATAGAATTCTTCTCGAGTAACTATTAGAGGTAAATAAATATACTTACTAGACGATGTTGTTCGCGTTGTTTTTCATTTGTTGGATCTAATACTAGTAATTCACAAAGATCACATTTATCGAAATGCATATATGGACAATGACGTCCAGCTTCTAATTCTTCACAATATCCATCTTTTTCAGCACAAGGACATAATGATTGAAGTTTAAAAGTCGAAGGATTTTCTTTATATTTTTCGAGAGAAATGGACGGTTCATAATAAGTATTTGCATAGCTCGTTGATTCTAGAAGAAAAATATGTCCTTAGAATATCAATATATGAATCTTTCCTTTTTTTTAATGACATCATTGATCGAAAATATGACAACGTGTTTTTTTTATCGATTTCTCAAGGAATCAAAATCAAGTTCACTGCATAAGTGCATAATTAAGAAGCAAGGAGAAAAAAATAGTTTCAACGACATACATTGACTAAACAAACCAAAACTGTCTATTTTGAGATATATTTTGTCATAGTTCTATACAGACTAGTATTCAAAATGAATTAAAATAGGCAAGTGTAGGTATGCCAACAACTTCTACTTACTACTGATTGTTTTATAATGAATATTTAAAATTCGGATGCGTATACGATGCGTAGGTAACTGATAAAATTTAAATCAGTATATTAGTATGTGAAACAACAAATATAAATAAAATTTTTCATAAATACCAATGAAAGTATTCGTCTGTATTTGCTTATGTAAAAGGAACACAAGACACAAACAAACTAATTATATCTCTCACGATGGAATTGTATTTATGTGATGCTTCATTCAAGTTAAAACTAAAACTATGTCAATATTTCCTTCGTTTCAGCAAAGATTTATGATATATGTCATCTTTATTCTGTTTAAACAGATTTTACTTCAAAAATCTATTTCTATTACCTTTATTTTGAGTTTCAGTGAAAGATTGAGGTTTATCGTTGATAAAGTTTTGTTGAAATGAATTTGTTATTGGCTCGGTAGAAGAAAAAGATAAATGTGGTTTTGGTCTTGTATGTTCATATCTGATAAATAAAAGAATTTTCTTATAAGTCGAAATAATTTTAAAACAAAAGATTATACCTGCATCGATCTCCATACATACATTTACCTCTCAAATAATATCGACAGATATTATTCGATTGATTATTTGATCGATCGTGTGAATAAAAACATTTATCACCATAACGACACATATTTGAAAGAAAATATCTAAATCAACAAAAAACACTCGAAAATCAAATAATTTAAAAAACAAATGTAACATACCGGCATAAATCGTTTGGTGATTCGTTTGTATTGATAGTAGTAGCAGTAGCAGTAGCAGTAGTAGTAGTAGTTGATGCAGCCATCAACGATAGTTAGACACCAATAACTAGAATGAAACCGAAAAATTAAATTATTCACAACATCATCATTTGTTTTTTCTTCAAAATACATATCGACAAAAACGTTATATTGTATATATATACATATACATAGACGTTCTTGAACAATTCATTGGATAAGTATACAACAAATAGATATTCAAACTATTAATTTTAGCTAAAAAATTGTTATACGACCTATAAAACAGATTCTTCTATAATCATATGTAATCTAATTTTCATCGAAATCATTCAAATTAAAAAAATATGAACTAAATGATGATAATATTATATTTGTAACTACTGACATCTGTAGGAAATTATGAATTTAAATGTTTATATAGAACCGAAATTGAGTATTGTAACTATTATCGAAATTTCCCTTTTGTCGTGTGATTCAGCAGTAAAGAACAGAATTTATTTAACTAAACTATTCAAATAATCAATTAAACTGAAGAAGAAAATATAGTGATCAAGTTCTAAATAGTATCTATCATGTTGAAATCTAAATAGAATAATAAATTAAGGAAAAATAAATTTTCAAATTTACTTTTCCATTGTGTAATTTGTTGAATGATATCTGTATGAATGAATTGAAGATAATGTTGATAGTCAATAAGCATATTATTTTCTGCTGTTTTTGCTTTTAATTGTCGTATTAATTGATAGAGATTTGTTCGTATAAAATTTAAATTCGAAGAATTTTCTCTCCATGTTTTTGATGTATAATCTTCTAATAAATTAGAAAATTCTTGCTGAATTGATAAAAGAACAAAATTGGAAATAATTCCACGAAAAATAATTTTAATTAAACGAGTTTTTAATAAATAGAATTTATTTCGTAAATAATTTTGTTCTTCAAATGGTAAAGGATTAACTAAAGAAAAACAAAAAAATTTAATAAGAATAAAAATAAAAACTAACGTGAATGTTTTATTGAAAAATGTCGTTGAAATATTTGTTTTGTCAGTAATCGTTGTTTTTCATGTGAATGATCGAGTATTTTTGTCATATGAATTTTAACAGTCTAAAATTTCAAATATTTTTCTTTTGGTTGTTTTTAGTAAAAATTGATTTACTTCAAATTGAAATTTATCTTTTCTTTCAACAAATTTTCTATTCTGATTTCGAATTTGATGAATTTGAAGTTTTATTGAATTAATACATTTAGAAATCATTTGAATAGATTGATCTTGTTGATGAATATGTTCATCAAATCGAACTATTTTTTTATATAATAATTGACATAAATTAACTCGACGAACAACCATACGACCTAAACTTGATCGTACTGTTAAATATTTTGTTAAATTTTCATTTGTTTGTTGAAGAGAATTTATCGAAATTTTATATTGATTTTGAAGATTAGTATACTGTTCATAAATAGTTGAAAGTTTTTTCAAATTAATTTCATCATTTTCTTTTAGAGTAGAATAATATTCACGTAATTTATTTAATGATGTCTTTTGTTCAATTGCATCATTATGACAGATGATTAATTGGTCAGTAAAAGTTTTTAAACGATATTGAGAATATCTAACGGTAAGTAAATTAGTATTATTTGAATGAATAGTAGAGTCATATTCTCTTTAATCATTATCAAAATGGGTATATATCCTCTTCGCCGAAAAAAATCTCGTCAAAAACAGTTTTTCGCCTCGGAAGCTGCTGCAAACGTGAGGGTGATTGGAAAAAATTCTTTCGATGAAATGTGCTTCGACAGACAGAAACACAACCGTTGTATGTCTAAAGATATCAGCAGTTAGAAAATATAGGTAACAAATTCTAATGAGAAATAAACATATCTTTAGAGATGCACAGTTTCGGTAAATCGTGCATTGTCAGCACCGACAGGGACGCACCGTAGCAATGATGCTGTGGACTTATCGAAACCGACGAGTGTGGATAAAGTGACACCATCAGTGAGCCCAGTGTCAGTATTGTCAGCGCTACGGTGCCTCACTGTCAGGGCTGACAGTGACAGTTTTTCAGTATTTGCACTGAAATTGTGCATCCCTACATATCTTGTATAAAACGTTGTGAATGATCTATCAGACCATGCGTCATATAAATCTCATCGACATTCTATCTCGTAAAATAACATGTGTTCTTCATTATCATGTACTTCAACAACTTTGTAGAGTATTTTGTTATAAATCAATATTCACTTTAACCAAGCTCGACAAGGTAGACATAGCTCCAGTTCGATGTCCTGTAGTCAAGAGTACAAGTCACATATAAGCTAACTATTATAATAGAACTGTCTAAGAACTAAGCAAATAACGCTAATCACTAATCTAGTAAAATAAATTTACATATTTTCTTAATTACGTATGAGTATCATATATTCATACTTAATATTATTCGCTGCTACTTGTGCTTGCATTTGTATTGAATGTTGTTTTGTTCGGTATGATTCTGAACGATTTTTCATATCTGTTACCGTATATTTTAATTGTAAATAATAATGTTGTTCTTCAATAAGTTTATTTTCTAAAAAAATAAACAAATTGAGAAATGAAAATAATTTCTAAGAAAATATTTTACCGAGTATTTGAATATGTTGATAATTATCTTTAAAATCTCTTTCATTTTGTTGAATTCTATTTAATATATTCTTCATTCTATTCGTCATTTGATTATTTTTTATTTTTAATTGTTGATCTTTTTTTTCATAATTATGTTTCGTAGAATAATAATGAAGTTTTTGTTGTTTTAATGTTTGATGTGTTTGTTTAAGATGAAGAATATCTTGTCGTAATTCAATTAAATTATTTGGATTAATTTGTGTATATTGTCGATGAAGTTGTTCAACAAAAGTTTTCAATCGATTATTTTCATCCATTAATGGATAAATACGTTCATTGAATGCATGAATACGTATTTGATCGATTTTTTTTCGAGCTAATAATGAATCATGTTGTTGAATTAATGTATGATTAAGACGATCATCATTTGCATATTGTTTTAAATTCGTTCTTAATTGACGATCAATTGATCGACGTTCGGTCTACAATACTTTATACTAGTTAATAAAATTTTGTAAAAAGAAAAAATACTTTTAGTTGAAGATGCATTTCACGATGAATCTATAAAAAGAAAATATCAAGATATTTACTAATATTTTATTTATTTACATTCAAATTATCATTAAGTTGTTGATCAATGTGATCCATTGTTTTATAATCATTTTCTTTTTTAATTAAGAGTTGTTTTTGTTTAAAAATATTTTCTTGATAATTTTCAATCGATTTTTCTAATTGAATTTTAAGTGAATTTTTTTCGTCGATTTTATTTTCTAATATTAATATTAATTGATTTGTATCATCATAAATAGTTTGACGTTGAAATGAATTAAATATTTGTAAGTTTATTAATTCATTATCTGTTTGTTGTTTTAATTGTTGTTCAAGTTCATATAATGTTAATCGAAAACTATTTAAACTTGTACGATAATTATTAAGAATATTATCGAATTGTTGGATTTGTTCAAATAAATTATATTTTATTAATTCAGTTTGTGTTATTAATGAATCACGTTCTAATTGAAGATTATTTAATTCATTTGTATGTGATCGTAATATATTGGATTTAAGAATATTTAATTGAATTATATTATGAGAACAATGAGTTTTTGTTTCATGAATTTCTTCTTGTAATTGATCTGTATATTAAGTATTTGAAAGAAATTAATCATGGCAATAAAAAACTTGTTTATATAGATATGATGAATAAATAATAATAAGATAGAAATGTTTTGAAGAGAGACTTACGAGGGAAATATATCAACTGGAACGTCAAATTTTGGTCATCAGTAGATCCCGATGGAGTATGAAAAGGATTCGCGCCCTTCGGCTTTTGCTCCTGAGATATGGAGTTTTCGAGTCGAAACTCTGTAAAATCATCTTGCTCGAAGTATTGTGTATTATATGAAAAAGTGCTCGTAAAGGCAATATCTAAGACATAAAGGCACGAGAACACGAATCCTTTGGAGGTTTTCGCATACTTCATCGGGGTTTACTATTGGTCACGAGTTCGAATCTAAACTGTCTGAACACCTTAGAAGATTCTCTCGTTAGGTTTTTTTTAAAGATGAAGCGTTACGTATTATTCATAATAAGGCATATGCGAGATTAAATTTTGAAAGTCTTAACGCCTGTAACTTCTTTCTTAGTAATTTCGATCATAGTCTCAGTTCATGTTGACTAAGTCATCATACTTATTTAGAATAGCCTGTATTTACAATTCTAATAGTCCTGTCGATTATGTACAAAAACGAATTGTCTACAGTTAGTGTATTGCTCATATAAGACGTTAAGTATAAATTTTATTCTAAATGACTCAGTCGTGATCAAAATTGATATTACAAGACGTTATTTCAAATTTACTGCAGTAATATTTATACTAACAAAAGTTTTGTTGATTTTAAAAATAAGACCAAAATATTTTTTATTGTAAATGAAAGAAAAGCTTAGCTTTGACTTCATACTCACGTTTATAATCATGTAGTTGTTGAATTTCTAAAAAATAGTTTTAACAAAAAAAAGAAATTCAATATTTGCAATAAAAAAAAACCTCTTTTTAATTGTGTTATATCATTATTAATTTCATGTAATTTCAAATAAAATGTTTGATATTGTTCTTGTTTTATTTTTAAATTTTTTAAATTTTGATGTTCTTTTTTTATTTGTTCAAGTTGATATTGTATATTGACTTCACTCTGTATACATTCATCAAATTTTTGCCAACTTTTTCTTGAAATATTATATAGAATTTTTTTTTCTCGTTTTGCTAATTTATGATTATTTATTAATATAGGTAAAATTTCATTTTGATATATTATTGAATGTTTTAATTGTATAATTTCTTCATTTAAATCAATACCATTTAATATCGATTGAAATACACTTTGATATAAATGATGATAACTAAGTTTATATCGATTAGCATCGTTCTCTTGAATATTATTTAACAAATAATTTAAATCTTCATCATTTATATATTGGTAACGTATATAAAAATCTTGTTCGGTTTGATGTTTGAAATCTAATGATTGTTGTGGTTTAGCAAGTTGTAATCGTGGTTCTGGTATTGGTAAATAAATAATTCCAGTATTGATATGAGTAGATTCTGACTCATGATGATTGAGACTTTTAAAATTAATACTATGTAATAAATCATTACTAAGATTTGATTGAAATGATATATCTTAATAGAAATAAATATACAAAGAAGTACAGAGATATAAATAAAACAAAAAAAAATTCGAAACTAACATCCATGTGAAGATGGTTCATTAGAATGAGAAGAATGATTCATTGTATGTATAATTAATAATGAAATTTTGATTGAGAATGGATACTATCGATTGCAACTCTTAAAGAGATTTTACTAGACAATAGATTATATTCTTTTAAGTATATTATAAGAATATTATTTTAGTAGAAATATTCTAAGCAGTTTTTACTACCTTTTTCTAATATAACTGATTTTATCATGTTGCAATCTACAAATGGATCCTCATGATATTATCTATGATATATGTCTTACAAAAACAAGCGGATGATTGAGATCGACACCATTTTACTAATTATCTAATATATTAATCATTAATGTATTATTATTATCTACCGCTTTGTAGTCAATTATATTTTTCAGATTTTATCTATGGCAGCACATTGCAATGTAAACATATGTCAATTTATAGACAATTCTTCTTTTTTAAAAACAAGTAACGTTCATCGAAACTCGGTTCACTTGATCCTAGACGATCGCAAGCTGCATGCGGATATAACTGTATTTAGATACGCATGAGAGTTGATCAATATTAGTTTTACCTTTCAGCAAGAAATCAAATTAAATTTCTGCTTTATATGGAATCAAGCAATTTCTAAAAGTTAGATATTTGACAAATGAATAATAAAGTTTAAAAATGCTTTAGCTGTATTAACGGCAATTTTATCAAAAGGAGGGTTTCAAAAAAAACAACAGTGTAGATCTCTTTATCATTATATATGAACATTGGTTTTGAACTCTTTTATCTGTATGCACTATAGT